AACGGTGAAGGGAACCCTTGATCGTTTAGGGTCAAGTGGATGTAAACAAAAGCTTTTTTTTAGCAATAAAAGTGAGATTAAAGTTCCGATGGTTAAATATGATCAGCAGGCATCTTTAACAAGTGAATTAGTCGGTTAAACGCATGTTTAGAACTTATTTTAGGAATTTTTTCAACGCATTTTGACAAAATTAGCGGTGAATAAAGGTCAAGTGGGTACCACACGGTATATAATAGGTCATTAAAACTGAGTCTTTTGTTGCCATTATAAAAAGGCTAGATATTTCAAAATTTTGCACGGCAAGGTCAAGAGTGAAGCATTTTATAATGCTTCTATTTATCAATTAAAGCAAAGTAAATAAAATTTGGTTTTGGCACGTTGTGATTTGTATTAAAATATTGGAAAAAAGCAGTTTTTTTTTCTCCTGATTCTTGAGAATATTTCCGTGATCTAGGACGTTTCGAAGCAAGACGTATCTACGTCTAAATCAACGCAGATCTCAATGTGTTGAGCATCGAGACAATCGATCAATTCAATCTCTGGTCGGTTCCATTCGGGGCTTCCCGTAGCTCAGTTAGTAAAGGCGTAGCTAAAAAGCAAGAGCATGCTGGAAGCGATTGCGTTCAATTCTCGGTCCGATCAGGAGAAAGTCGCTAGACTTTCCTGGGCATAGAGTACTTGCCACACAATTATACTAATACAAAAATGGTACAGGCATCGAAAGCTATCAATTAATAACTATGGAAGTGCATCTAAAACACTCCGTTCGATTCACTGGTCAACGCAGTTAACCAGAAGCCGGATCACTTGGTGCAGACTCTCTCTCGCTTAGCCGCTGTACTAAAGCTCAGGTAACTCTCTACCTCAAGACTGACGCTCGTCCCGTATACTGCTTCAAGAGGCTTGTCGCATACGCCGCATGTCCCAAGGTCTATGCTGAGCTGCAGAGACTGCAATACAAAGGAATCATTGCGTCGGTTCAGTTCTCCGATTTTGCGGCCGCCATTGTAGTTGTGCGTCGGATAACATTTAGGTGAATATGTGGTAATTATTCCACGGGTCTCAACAACTCGCTTCCCTACCCGGATGATATCTACGCTGAACTAGCTAGCTAGCTGACTGCCATTTCTTTTCCAACATCGATCTCTCGGATGCGTATTTGCAAGGCGAGGTCGAAGAGGATTTCCTGATCGCAGGAAAAACTTGGCAGCGCACGACCGCAGTCCTCTAGCAAATTCATGATTATGGATTTTTTCTTCGGATTGAAAAGTGCCGGTTTTGTTTGTCGCAGATAAAGTTTCTGGGATGATAAATGAGAATATCCGTCCTACAACAGGATCATACAACCGGTCAAAAAATAGGCAATCCAACCTCGTATCCAACAGGATGTGCTTATGCATTTGTCATACTCAGCGCTAACTGGCGTTGCTAGATCGCTGCTCCTCTCTCCATTTGCGCTGCAGCTCCGACATAATCTGCGTGATTGCTCTGCTGACGGCATCCCAAGTACCCTCCTCTCGACACGTTAAGGACGGGCACCTCCCTGCGTGCTGCCTCGAACCTTGGACGGTCAAAGATCACATGTTCCGGTGATTCGTCCACGTTGCCGCACTCCAGACAGAGGGGTGACGTTGAGTGTACGAACCAACGCAGGTACTTCCTGAAGCAACCGTGACCAGACACGAACTGCGTCAGGTGGAAGTTGACTTCTCCGCGTTTTCTGTTCACGCAGGTCGAAGGAATCGTTATTAGTCTATGTGTCCATCTACTGTTCTCCGCCGCGCTCCATTCTTTTTGCCACTTAGCCAACGACTCCGCTCTCACCACTTTCCGTACTAATCCGGCTTCTCTCGGCCTGCAGCACTCGCCTCCGCCGATGGGGATCATTCCGACGATAACGCATTATGAGTTGAGTTTTTAGCTGTCACATAGAAAATATTCGGTGATAGGTATCAAGAGAAATCTTGATAGCATTTTATTATGAGACTGTAATAATTGAATTGACGAGTATCTCATAACAAAAAGCTACTGTTTACGTTTCAATTTTATTTAACTAACGTTCAATAACGGCGGTGCCGGTGATACAGTGGTAAGCGTGATTACCTCTCACCCCAGCAAGCCTGGGTTCATTCCCAGTCGGCGCCGCAGGGAATGTTCTGAGGCATAACATTTCTGATCACGTAAGGCAAGTTGGTCTCCGGTTCATGAGTTGATGGGTTGCCTCCCTGGCGTCGGTAGCATTGGTGCTCAGCATGGAAAACAATGATTTTAATACCATAATGCCGCGGATACACTTGTATGACAAAGTATGAACTTGAGCACAATTTTTATAATACATTATGATAACATCTTAAAACTATACAAGTGTGTCCATGGATGTGCTCATAATTTATTAAACAAATAATGCTAATACCACCGACAAACCGACATGACACTTAATTCTGACTTATACCCGAACATCGTAAACGGCCAATTTAAATGTGCAGTGATCCGAACTGTCAAAACCATACGATTCTTTGATCTAGATAAAAAATAATTTGCCCAGAATAGATCAGACACGAACCAATTCATAACTTTTGCATGCGGGTTCATGGCTTAGCTAAATATTTCTCGCGAACACGGAGCCAGATGTCAGTAGTGTGTTTTGGTCAGAAATTTTATTGTTTTGGGTATGGTCATTCATGTCGGTTTGTCGGTGCTAATACCCCGTTCACATTACAGCGTATATCACGTTATATACACTGTCTTGCAATGAGCACTCATACATCTAGTTTTCACTGGAAATCCTATGTACGAGTGCTCATTGCAAGACAGCCTATATTACGTGATATAGGCTGTAATGTGAACGGGGTATAAAGTTCATAGTTTGTCATACAAGTGTATCCGCGGCATAAGTGTGTCAATTTCGTTTAATGTAGTAATTTATTTCTAAATTTACATTATTAAGTGATCAATTTGCCCCGGATTACGGTACAAAATTACATCCATGGATGTAGATTTGTTCGCGATTTCTGTGTACATCGTGCAATGTTATATCACACAATCGATGGAATGATCTGGTTGCAGCAGTTTGGATGTAATATTCAACTTTTTTTTTTGCTGTGTATAATCGATTGAAAAATTTCTATTTTTCGGTTCGTTAATTGATTAATCAATTATTAGAATAAAAATCGGACATCCAACGAGAATGTCAAATATAAGGGCCGTTTATAAATAATGAGACAATTTGAAACGGACCGGGGCTAGTCATAAATGACGTCCACACGGTTACAAAAAAAACACGAGTGCTGAGTCGCTATATTCATAGTCTGGTGGATAGAATCTCGGGAACCAATTGATCTGTCAAATAGCGGAACCAATCGAGCAAATCACGACCAACAACAGAAAAAAAGCACATCATCTATTGCAAAAAAAAAATTCAAAACTTTTTTTCTCGTGACTCAAGACTCGCCTACGCAAACTAACACCATCTTTGTGTTGGGGAATGTTTCCCCTATCCGATGATGCGAGTAATTTGCATTCAATTGGCGATAGTACCTTTTCAATTGTTGGTCTGTATTAAATTGGTTCCGCTTTTTGATAGATCGAAATTCTATCCGCCAGACAATAAATATAGCGACTATAGTGCTGACTATAGTCGCTATATTCATAGTTTGGCGGATAGAATTTCGATCTATCAACAAGCGGAACCAATTCAATATATTTTGGAAAAAAAATTGAAAAGGTACTATCAAATTTATAAACAAAACGTTGAATATTCTTTCCTCGCAAATCGAACGCAAATTACCGACATCGCCGATAGGGGAAATTTTCCCCAAGCTAAAGATGGTGTCATTTTGCGTAGGCGATCCTTGAGTCACGAGAAAAGGGTTTTCGAAGTTTTGTTCGCAATAACTGATGTGCTCTTTTCAGTTGTTGGTCATGATTTGTTCGATCCGCCAGACTATGAATATAGCGACTATAGTGCTGACTGGTTGGTTCTACCATAGAGGTAACTCTAAGACAAGAAGGTCCCGAAGAAATGCGCTCAACTTTTTGGCTCAGCTCTGGTACTATCTTCGGTCCCAAGCTAATCGATGCACCCCTCGAAACATAGGAAAATGCACGAACCCCTCATTTTATCTTTCAAACTTTCATAGCGAATCAAAACAAACATAGTTTAGTACTAGAATTTCGACTAGAATGGGGTACGTTAATCTATTTGCTTGGGATCAATAGGCTAGTCAATTAGTGAGCCAATTTAAAATAGATAGTTTCGTATTGATTGTTGGTTCTATGGTACGCCAAATGGTCCTATTGGTCCTATTGTTGAAACTAGAAACTTTATGAAGTCCGTGATGTTACTTGGCTTACAGTAATTTAATATGTAATTAATATTCTTGGCTTGGCTTACAGTAATTTAATATGTAATTAATATTCTAAAATTTAATCTTTTGTTAAGTAATTGCCCTGGTGAAGCATAGACAGTGACCTCCTTCTGTGATTGAAATCGAAAACGAATTAAAACATTTGTTAATTCTATAAAATAACAAATAAACAACCATATTTTTGCATTTCAACGTAGTTGAAAACTTCGTTGGCGAGAGAGAGAGAGAGAGAAGAAAGAGAGAGAGAGAGAGAGAGAGAGTTAAAGTATTCCACTATCTGTAAACACTAATCATGATTCGGTCATGCGGAGCTAGATATGTTGTGTAAGCAATTCTATCGCCTTTGCTTATCAGAATACTGCTTCATTGATAAAAATTCGTTTTGAACAAAACATCCACACGTCGACTGCTGGATTATTTTCACGCGTATAACTATTTGTGGTACGTCTTTGATAAAAATGTATCGGAAAAATAGCAGCCGTAATGAATTTTCACTCGAATATGCAGGACAATACTTATCGAAAGTGTTAACATTGATGAATTTGGGTAACAATAAAAACATTACTGGTACCTTTTTGACTGTAAGTGTATTCCATTCGTCTTAAACTGATTCATATATATTTTTCTTTACAGAAAGCGTGAAAACATTGCTCGGCCGACATACCAAAATTTTGGTTAAGTATATGGTGAAATTGGAAATCAAAAATGATAAAACGGAAAACAGAGTACTGGTATGTACCATAAAGTACCATAATTTCGCGCATCTAAGCTCCTAAATTTGCGTTGCTTTGAAAACTTCCTAAATAGTGAGTTATGTGGATATTTCAAATTATGATATGTAAATAGGTATTTATTATTGACTATTATATGAGAAGAAAATAAATTTAGAAAATATTAAAATTCACTACGAAGTAATGGCAAAGCGAGCGGAGTTAAGAGCCGCGTGAAATTATGCCATTTCACAGTAAAATGATGTTGGGGTAAATTGTAAAACTTATTAACCATAAGTCGCTTTTCATAGGTTTTCACTCCAGTTCGCGTGTATTTACTAACGGCAAAAGTACCTACGAGGGTAAGTCGTATTTTCTTCAAGTACAAGTGCATATACTGACTAATCGATTCGATTTTTTTCTTGTAGATTGACTGCCACTTCCACTATCTCGATATACAATCGATTGATAGCAAAAAGCCAACGCATTTTTCGATTGCAACGAATGATAAAACTTATTCTTTTTCTACTATAGGAGACGCAGGCAATTTTAGTTCGGTAAATTATCAGAGGCTCCGCTGAGAGACTATAGGTCTGTAACAAGTATGTTACGATATTAATTTATTGTTGCTTGTTTTACAGAACGCAGACGTCATTTTAACTGACCTTTCATCGGCTGTGAAGCAAATATTTCCAACGGTTCCATTGAAATATATAATTCGCAAGGTAAGATTACAATAACATTATTTGAGAGCATTATGAAGGCTGGGATAGAAAATTATATTGTCATTATTTAAGCGGGTAGTTCAAAATGCTAATCCATCTATCCACCAAAAATTTGTCCCATGTTTGCACACCCTTATTTTTTTTTCCTGAAATTGAAAGAAGACTTACTGTAATGTAGCTGCAGGAAATTACTGTGTAAAATGTGGTTATGCTGTGATGTTTCTAGGCAAGCATGGGAAAAATCGTTCAATTTTGCATTCTCAACTCACTCACACGCATATAACATCAGAAACGAACAGCAGCTTGTGCGAGCCGCACTGATTTCGTTCGTATTCGCACTGGTTCTATTTTCTTCGATGAATGCAGAATTGAGCAAAACAGACAGCTGAGCGTAACATGAATGATTCTGAGTGTAGTAGTGTGGATGATTCCTCTCTTATTATTTTTTCCATGCTGAGCCTTTTACGATTGCATTCTGCTGAGTGAGCTGAATGAGAATTTTGCAGAAAGAATCACTTTTTATTTTCTAGCTTTAAACATACATTGACACATTTAAATCGCTTTTAATTTCGAGAAAACTGTGATACTGTAACACATAAACATAAACGTCACGCAAATAACTTAAAACTGCTGTGGCCAATTCAACTGATTTAAATCAGTGAGCCAAAAACTATCTGACTCAGCTATTTAAATCGTTAGCATTCGGATCTAACGCATTCAATCTGGTTCTCCCTCGCTAGAGAAAATTGTTCGGCTGCCTTTCAGATTATGCTTTTTCCCTTCTACTGCTGTCAGTTCTGATTCGAGCTGCAGAGTCACTTGGTAGGAAAAATTTACACTTGTTCGGCAATCTGTTTGTAGGCGAAGATGGCTATTTTGATTCTGTGGTGCTCGCGCGAGTGAATGAATTTTCCCATGCTTGTTTCTAGGTAATAATTACATGAATACTTAAGCTAGTTTCTTTCAAAACACGTGTTCAAAATTTAAAAAAATCTTCTCCCAAGAATTCTGTACATATTGTTGTTTGTTGGATTGTTAAAACGATTGTCTAACTACTGTATACTTAGTTGAAGATGCTAATTTCAAATAACAGACTGTAGTGGTAATTTTTATACGATAGATGGAGTAGATGAAAGCATAGAGTTGATAGTTCCGTTAGAGTACGGCAGTGTGAAGATTGTATATAGATATTAGACAAGCGAGCTAGGACAACTTTTAAGGAAGGTACAAATCGGTTTTTTTCATCTCTCTTTACCAAACTCCCCCTTTGGAGAGGGATGGTGAGGGGTGTCCCCCCCCCCCCCCGCCACCACTGGCAAAAAGAGATGAAAACCGACCCGCTCATGTAAGGCCGACCATCGAAGCATTGTAGATGTGTTGTCAAACATGGACTGGGAGAACATTCTCGATCATGACAACGTTGAGGCCGCTGCGCAAACTTTTTCTCATGTCTTGGCATACACTCAAAAAATTTATCACATATCTAATGGATGAAAAACATAGCTTTCATGTGATCACATAGCTAAAAATCCCACCACAAAATCACATGAATATTATGAGGCTGATGGAATTCATACGAAAAATCATATAAAATTAATGTGATCGCATAAATTTTATGTGAAATTCGGATGAATTCCATTAATTTTGATTATGGATGAAAATCATGTGCGTTTTCAATGGAAGCTACATGAAAATTATTTTCGGTGTATGTCATTGACAGACACGTCCCGAAAAGAATTCAACGCAAAGACTCTCACCCTCCCTGGCAGACGATTGAGCTGCGTAGGTTGAAGTCGATCAAGAGAGCAGCATTGAGAAGATTTACGAAGTATCGCACGCTTCCTCTGAAACATCACTACGTGAGGCTTAATCACGAGTATCAGTGAGCCAGTCGTCGATGCTTTCTGCGATTTCAACGAGGTATTCAGCGTAACCTTAAACTTCACCCGAAATCCTTCTGGAACTACGTGAACGAGCAACGCAGAGAATCTGGCCTCCCATCGTCAATGGAATTGAACAGTGAAGTCGCTTCCACTCCGCAGGATATTTGTCGCCTTTTTTCTGTCAATTTTGCCAGTGTGTTCACTGATGAGAGACTAAGTGACGACCATGTTTCCCTCGCAGCCAGGAACATCCCACTAAATGGTCAAACACTGAGTGCAATTGATGTCAACGTTGAGATGATTTCTAACGCTGCAACGCAGCTCAAATCGTCCTTCAACCCTGGACCCGATGGAGTTCCGTCCGTGTTTTTGAAGAAACATATTGCTTGCTTGTTAACTCCACTTCACCGTCTATTCCGGATGTCTCTCTCCAGTGGTATATTTCCATCCTTCTGGAAATGTGCACACATGTTTCCTGTCCACAAAAAGGGAAGCAAACGAGCCGTGGATAACTATCGTGGAATTACATCGCTGAGTGCTGTTTCGAAACTATTCGAGCTTGTTATTATGGAACCGTTGCTCTCTCACAGCAAGCAGTATCTGAGTGCTGATCAACACGGGTTTACTGGCGGTCGCTTCGCTCTACAACCACCAATCTGCTATGCCTCACATCCTACATTACCGATAGTATGACTGAACGGGTACAGACGGACGTTATATATACCGATCTATCCGCGGCATTCGATAAGTTGAATCATGACATTGCGATTGCTAAACTTGACAGGCTTGGGGTGAGCGGTAATCTCTTGAGTTGGTTCCGTTCGTATCTTACTGGTCGACAACTTATGGTTGCTATAGGAGATTGCAAATCAGCTAGCTTCTTTGCCACATCAGGTATACCGCAGGGAAGCCATCTGGGACCGTTGATTTTTCTACTCTACTTCAACGACGTGAACCTGGTTATCGAAGGACCTCGATTAGCATATGCAGACGACCTCAAAATATTTTTACGAATTTGCTCGATCGCTGACTGCCACAATCTTCAACATCAGCTTAATGTCTTTGCCAGTTGGTGTACTTTAAATCGAATGGTAGTGAACCCATCAAAGTGCTCTGCCATAACGTTCTCACGAAAAAAGCAACCGATTGTATTCAGCTATGACCTGCTTGGAACGACACTCGAACGCGTGAATCAGGTGAAAGACCTGGGTGTGGTGTTGGATTCACAGCTAACATTCAGGCAACACATTTCTTATGTCATCAATAAGTCGTCTAGGACTTTAGGATTCATCTTCAGGATAGCTAAGAATTTCACCGATGTCTACTGCTTAAAATCTCTTTACTGCCCCCTCGTACGATCGACGCTTGAGTATTGTTCTGCGGTTTGGAATCCGAATTACAACAATGGTGCCGAGAGAATCGAATCTGTTCAACGTCGCTTTCTTAGTTTTGCGCTTCGTAGACTGCCCTGGAGAGATCCGCTTCGGCTGCCCAGCTACGAGAGTCGCTGCCAACTGATAAACCTTGAACCTCTCCGGATTAGAAGGGACACCAACAGAGCTTTGATTATCGCCGACACTCTACAGGGACGAATAGATTGTGAGGCTATCCTAAGGCAAATTGACCTAAACGTGCAACCCCGACCACTCCGTAACAACCTCATGCTGAGACTGCCAGTGCGTCGCACGAACTACGGGGCATATGGTGCGATTTGCGGACTACAGCGTGTGTTCAATAGAGTCGCATCTGCATTCGACTTTCACCTCACACGTGATGCGCTTCGTCGGAGATTCTCATCTGTTTTCGCCGGCCGCAGTGACTGACAGAGAAAATTAGTGTATTTCCATTTATGTTTTTTTTACATTCTGACCATGTTGCTTTGTTTTTCTTTCTGTGATTATTTGACATGTAATTTTACTATTATTATTTTTATGATTAGTATTATTAACATCATTTGGGCTACAGCCAGCCTGTTGATGTATGGCAACAATAAACAATAAACAATACCAACTGTGTGTTTGAAACAGTTCTACCGATTTTTTACCGCACTTCAGTTGTTATTTGAAGGAAGGCATCCAGTCGTAGGTTTGGAAATTGCAACTATTGTTTACCCCTACCACGATATGTGCTCCTGTCATCGTCGACTTGACGATCTCGAGGGGACACGGGTGGGGTAGGTGCTGCTACTGTACCTTTCGACCATTGACAGTAATTGATGGTATGCTCCCATCCAGAGTTATGTACTTTGACTATATGTTTTTAGTATTACTTCTACGTGAAGTCAACGATTTACATAGTTGAAGATGCTAATTTCAAATAACAGACTGTAGTGGTACTCTAACGGAACTATCAACTCTATGCGTTCATCTACTCCATCTATCGTATAAAAATTACCACTACAGTCTGTTATTTGAAATTAGCATCTTCAACTATGTAAATCGTTGACTTCACGTAGAAGTAATACTAAAAACATATAGTCAAAGTACTGTATACTGCCCTAATGCACTGCCTAATTCCACTCATGTTCGCCTGATTAAACTTCGAATCGGTCGGTACACATAAAACTATCGAGAATCTTATCTACTTCGATTTGGCTTTAGCTGATGATATTGGCGTTCTGATATTATGGACATTACTCCTTTTTTCAAAATATATCAAAGAAAAGAAGGAAACATATTCAATAAATGCCGATTTTCCTTCTATTGACATGAGTTCTTTCATATATATTTTTTAAACAGTTATGATAAAAGGAGTAATATTCGAAGATATTGATTCTTTTGCGTTTTCATACAATAAAAATAAGCTCCGTCTACTATGTACTCCCTCCCCATGGACATGTAGATTGACAGTACTAAAGCAAAGGGTTATGTTTTGTCTCTTTATATCTGCAACTATGATGATTTCCCATAGTGAAACATATCATATGCCTCAAACGATTAATTCTTGGTTTTTAATAGAACTTCCATGATCAAATCGGCTGCTTCGTCTAGACTGAGCAATTCTGATTATAGTACAGCAGTTCCATTTCAAATGACGATTTTTTTTTTTTAATTTTTTGATCGACCTTCTACGATTATGTTAAAACTTTGCACAGTTGAAGTAATGAAATTGGGTTGT